TAATTAGTTCAAATAAAGTATCAAAAGCAAGAAATCATATGGTTTTATTGAACAAAACCGTTAAAATACATAATGTATTATAAACAATAGAGCTAATGTACATTATGCATTGCAACAAAGGCCTGCAGAGGGCACCAACGGCCTGATGATTATTTTTACACATTACTGTGCGTTCTAATACTTGTTTAATATTAACCAAGCATTATTTAATTAAAATGTCCACTTAGTCTTTAATATATGGCCATTTCTTTAGGACAGAAATGCTATAGCCACTGTAATTAAAAGAATATGTGGACATCAAAACGTGTAAACTCAAGGGTGAGGGTTCAAGCTTTTATTTTGAAACCGCGATGTATTCTCCTGAGTTTGCGTAGATTTATAAATTATTTACCTTAAAAATCTGATGAAATGGCACACTTTGGGTTCCCATTTGAACATTATAATAAACCCAAACTCACAACAACATGCAGAGATGGAGTTTGAGACGCTCCACACATGTAAATGATAACAGTTCCTGTGGAACTACTGTGAAAGGAGCCGCTGTGTGACGCACATACTTAACCTACACGCATGTATATAATTAAAGCGCATATACTGAATTAGAACTGCATAATTTAATTAACTCGTAGCGTTTGTGAATTCACAATTATGCTTAATTATTATTTTTATATGGGTTTAATATATCATGCAGCCTTGGGAAACAGTCTAATAATGTGTTTTATGGATTCTCGTCCGTGAAATGCACCACTTCCGGTATTTTGTCAGTAAGTTGATGCGAGCAAAATGAAGTCGAGGATTTAAAAAAAAAAATCGAATAGTCGAATAAAATCAACGAATCGCAACAGCCCTAATAACTACATTTAACATTAACATACAGTTAACATTAAAGTTAACATCTGATATTATGTAGTGGACTAACATGAATAGTTATATTTTATTAATACATTTTTATTAAAGTCTGTGTAAAGGCAATTCAGAGAATTGTTTCTAAACACATTATAAATGTTAGAAATCTATTGCTGAAACATTACAAAGACTGTGAACTACTGTAGTTAGACTGTTAAAGAGTTTTTCACCATTTTTGAGTTCAGGATTTTTTGAGCGGGCCTGAAATCATGTCTCAATGACGTACTGGAGCCACTGAGTGTGGCACCTCCCCTAACACAATAATAACTAGAGCACATTAGCATCAGTGGTTCACCCGCGAGTTACTGTCATTACTGTTCGTTACTACAGCATACAGTTTACTAGCTAGCTATTGTCTTCGTCACATAAATGCATATTATAAACATGTATGGCTGTGTAAATCCAATTAAGCTGCTAGAGGGAGCATCCATAGACCTTCTGTGCAAACAGTGATGACGTTTCAAAGCCTACCTGGTGGCAGAAAATGACGTTTTAAAGTAGCAGTCTATGGAAGCCATTGAATAGAAGAAGAAAAAAGGTCATTTCTATGTTTTTTTTTTCGCAATTCTGAGATTATATCTCACAATTCTGATAAAAAAAAAAACAAACAAAAAAAAACTCTTCATTCTTTTTTCCCCTCGGCACATAACTGAGTTTCCCACACTTCTGGCATTTTTCCCTTAGAATTGATAAACTCGCAATTGTTGAGTTAAATCAAGTTATAAAGTCATAATTAGGACATATAAACTTGAATTTGCGAGAGAGAAAAAATTCAGGATTGTGAGAAAAAATAGCTAAATATGTAATATGTTATAGGTTTAAATAGTAGTCTATTTCATGCTGTAACTGCAGGGCTAATACAATATGTCCCCTATGAACTGCATATGTGAATATTATATAGACCTATTGTTTAAATCAAATTTATGCTTTAAAAGTGTAATCATACCAGGTTTCA